AGCCCTTTCGATTTTTCGAATTTTTACCAAAACAAAAGCAATATTTCTGTTCTTTTCATTCTTATCGTGGATAATGAATCTCAAGCAAGTGATTTATGACTGAAATAGAATCATAATTTTTCCGTGAAGGGATCCTTTAAGTGCCCCTCCGAAAAAAGTCCCAACTGGACTAATCGGATCGATAAATTTTTGTATAATTTATGACACTTTCTAGAAGGCTGGAAGCTTGAAGTTTTTCATACCGGCTTCAGCTTCCAAAATCAATGACGTTGAAGGGAGATGTGACATTTGTAGGTTAAATACTCGCACGTGCACAGGAAAAAGTACCAACCTGCTACTTTCTAACAATATGAACATTCAAGGAACATTTAGTAGGTTCTGGAGAGAGAAAAATTTGAATTTTTCTCATTTTCAAACCTCGTCGCGAAAACCTCGAATACTAGGGAAGGAATGATCCTCAAAAGAAAGCAGGTACAGATTTCAGTGAAATTTTATTTCTTACTTGAAAACTTGAATATTTTACATTGCTACGTTAAACAACAGCAACTGTTAGAAAGCTCATGCCTTGTAGATTCCGAATACACCTTTTTTCACAAGATAGCTGAATTTTAACGATGAAACGCTCATTCAAGAACCAGTATTCATGCGTTTTCTTCCTCGCCTGTTCCGCTTTTCAAAAAAGATATAACCTTTAAAGTGAAGAGGTTTGTATCGTAATGTCATTGCTGCGATGTTTAGTTATTCAGGTTTAGTTATTCAGTTTATAGCAAAAAAGGAGATTCGGGAGTTGGAAAAAAACTGGTGGGCTATCAAGAGTAGAAATCTCTGCGATTACTACCATGCTTAGGTTTACGCAAAACTTTGGTAATGCTTCTATTTAATTAAAACTAAGAACTAAGTAAAACTTTATGTGGCCTCGATTCCCTCCTATGCGTCAGACAAAGCGCACCGGCTTACCACTTTACATCACCTCTCCATGGTTGGTGACCCCATAACACCAATGATGGGCCTAAAATTTGCAGAAAGGCACAATAGCGGATGCAGGAGGGTCGTACTGATATTCACCAAAAGGGAGGAGGTCGTAAAAATTTTGAAAATTGCGTAATGCACAATTGCGATCTCTAGAAACTATTCTTATTGTATTTTTACTGCACTGCACCTGTTGACAAAGCCTGCGTAAAGGTGCTCTCACGCCTCTTGCGCTGCCCTATCCGTGCGGTGTAAAATTACCGCTGTGTATGTCACCACAATATCAGTGAGTGCAATAGCTCCCCTCGTCTTAGCATGTAAGTATTCCTGGATAAAAACCATAAGGTTCACCTGCATATATTACTCAGTTGTGGCTCAGTAAAGAGATGTAGTCGCATGAAATTCAATTCATCAAAACCTGCACTTTGTATTCGTTCATGATACGAATTCTAGTCGTCGAAGCACG